TCAGAGAGAACGAACCCCAAGGAAAATGGGGGAGGGAGAGAGACGACGACGACTGCGAGGAGGACAAGGAAACGACGATAAAATTAGAAAACAGAAGGATGACCAGGAGGAGGGCAGGCATGACGGAAAGAAAGCGAGGACGAGGAGGATGCAGACAGCGAGGCGGAGATACAAGAGGAGAGCGCGGAGAGCGAGCTCGCCTCGAGGTCGGTTTGGAGTTCAGCCGAAGTTGTGAAAGCGTCGGCCCACACGCCCGCGGCATTTCGGACAAACGCGGGCCACCACATAGACCATGAGTACCGTCGGCACAGCAAGGGCCCCCTTGAAAGGCGCGTCGCCCTGCCGTCTGGGTCTGTCACCGACGGCCTCAGCCTGGACTTTGCGGACGACGAGGTTGAGAGGGGATTTGGAAATGTTGCGAGGGTAGGAAGCACCGTCCTCGACGGCGTCAGTATGGCCCGAGACCACGGTGACGAGCAGGACGACGGCGACGAGCATGAACTATCAGCCGGACGACGGCATCGACGGCGACGACGAACGAACGAACGGACGAACCAGCGACAAACGAAGAACGACGACGAGGACGAACGACGACGGCGAGGATGACGACGACCACCGCCGACCGCGGCGGCGGCGGCGGCCGGCGGCGGCTGGCGGCGGGCGGTGGCGGACGCTGGCGGCGGCGCCGCGCCGCAGGCGGCCTCCGACGGGCTGGACCCTGAGGCGGCGCTGAGCGCGCCAGCCGCAGGCCGCGTGTGCGCCCCGACCAATGGGAGGCCCTCCCGCGGGCCCCTGCGGGGGGCCCTGCGGGGGGCCTCCCAGAGACGTCCGCCGCAGAGACCGTCGGGGCTCAAGCGACTGGGGTCGGTGCAAGCGGGGGTCAGCAGGGCTCATTCCGACTCCTCGGATCCGATTCGATTCGATTCGATTTCTATGGCTTCCGGTTCCGATTCGATTCGACTTCGGATTCCGATTTGGGCTTTGATTTCTCAAAGGCCTGCCATCTTGCCGATTTCTGCAGAATCGATTTTTCCCGACTCGGCTGCCGACTTCCGCCGACCCGATCCATTTCGATCGCCGATCCGATTTATCGATTCGATTCTGGGCCCTCCTGGGTCAGCCAGAGCCAGGGTGCAGGGCCACGGGTGCACTGACCCGGCTCTGGGTGCAGGATCCTGCTGGATCTTGTAGGAGCTTTCAGATTCCTGCGAAGCCTGACTGATCCGGGGCTGGGTTGACCCAGGCCAGTAGATCCCCGACAGAGACCCGCCCCGCTTGGTACGATCGGAATGGGTACGGAGAGAACGTTCGCGAAGACCGACAGCATCCAGGCTTCCCAGGTGGGGTCGGAGTGGGTCGGGGGGGGATCTCGCCGTATCGCCGACGCATCGGCGATGCGGCTCGATGTGGAGCCCGATGCCCTCCATGCGGACGTCTCCGATACGTCGCCGATGCGTCGCAGATGCAACGGCTACACATCGGCGACGGGGTGCAATCCTCCAACCCCGTCCGCTCCCACCCCATCTGGGAGGCCTCTAGAAGACCGAAGCAGTCCCTGTCCATTTTGAACGGGGCTCGCTGTGGTTGCCGCTGCAGGCGTGGTCCATTTGAGGCAGAGGGCCGCCTACCCAACAGAGGCCGCCGTCGGTTTTGCACAACATGTGCTCTGGTCATCGTCGAGCCAAGACGCTGATATAAACATCGCTTTGGGCTCAGGAGGCGCTCTGGTTTTCCGACCGTTCCTTAGGTCTAGATCGGGGAACACATTCAAAGCTGAGGCTCGCCGTGGCCAGACTAAACCCGTCGTTCCTTACTCAGCGTTCTGTATGGGAGCGCGATGGCTGTGTCTACTTTCTCCGTGCCGATCTCGGATGTCCGAACCCGGCCCTCTGGAGGATCTCTGGAGGCCCTTCGGGGGGCCTTTCGTGAAGCCTCATGTGTGCGTCCGCTGCATAGACCACCAGAGACTCCTGGGCAATGTTAGGGTCGGCGCACCGGAGCCCGCCACCGAAACCAACATCCCACCCAGGAAAGGAAAGTTCAGAGCATCTGTTGAATGCCGTCGCCCGTGTCTTCGGGCTCACGTGTCCCACGTCAATGAATGCCAGCTCTGCGCGCGTGGGAGCAACGCTGCCCTTCTCTATTTCCTCCAATGAACTTGTGGATTTCCACGGGCCGCGCGGGGCCTGTGGGCCACGAGAACCTCGCCAGCCCCGTGAAACCCACGCGTCCCAGAAAGGTTTCCTGGGCCACATGGGCGCCGCACTGCGCATGGCCCCATGTGCCGCGCGAGCCTGGCGAGCCGCGCGGGCCGCATGGGTCCCGTGATGAGTCGTCAGGGCCGCGTGGGGCATTTGGGCCTGGCGAACCCCGATGACCATGGCAGCCCCATGAGCTTTACGGGCGCCATGGGCCCCCTGAGGCGTGCTTTTTTTTTTTTTTTGTTTGACCATGCGAGCCCCATGGTCTGTGAATCCGGCGAGCCATGCAACCCGAGCCGCCTCGAGCTTCTCGGCCTCCGCTGGGTCGCCCCAGGGAAGGGGCCCCCAACTCTTCCGGTGGGGTCTTGGCGTCGGTACTGGCTCTTCGTCCCTGAAGGCATCGGAAAGCCGCCACCAGCAGTCCGGCGGAGGAGGATCTGTGAAAGAGAGGACGGGGGAGGAGGAGGAGGAGGAGGAGGAGGTTAAGACGCTGCATAGCGAGAAACGTAGAAACGTAGGAGGAGGAGGAGGAGGAGGAGGAGGAGAGAGGAGGAGGATATGGATGGGGAGGATGAGGAGGAGGAGGAGGAGGAGAGGAGGAGGGCGGCAAAAGGGGGAGACGACTATAGGCGACTCCGTGCGGTATCTCGCCGCAGCTCCTCTCGACGGGCGCAGCGGCCATGTGCCCTACGGGGCCCGCCGTGCCTCCCGACTTCTCTTGGGCGACGCCAACTGTGGTCCTTCCACCTCCTCCTCCTCCTCCTCCTCCTCCTCCTCCTCCTCCTCCTCCTCCTCCTTCTCTCCTCCTCCTCCTCCTACTGGGTGGGACAGGGGGGCGGGGAGGATGCGCAGGATGGCGGGGAGGAGGCGGAAGAGACGGAGGAAGCGGGAGGGGGGAAGGTGACGATCGCGACGACGACGTCGACGACGTCGACGACGACGAAGGGTTTTCAGTCTTCGAGGGCCACAGGGGGCCCCGCGGCTCCTGTGCAAGGCGGGCCTCTCGACGGCCCGCCGAGCCCGCCCCAGGCGGCCTGCCCGCGGCGGCCGACGACCTGGAGGTGGCAGATCTCGAGGGCAAGGAGAAGGACGGGACCGGAGGGGTGCTGCAGTCAGGCGGTCGCAAGCATGGATCAAGGGCTTAGGCGTCCTCCTCCTCATCCTCCTCCTCCTCTTCCTCCTCCTCCTCCTCAGGCGATTCGGGGGTGGACAGAACCCCCAACAGTGACACGTCGATTAGTGGATTGTCCGTTGTCGGTCCTCGCGAGGGCGCCGTGGCCGTTATTTTCCAGGCTTGCGCCCGCCAGGTTTGGGCTTCAGGTCGTTTTCACTAAACCACGTTTTACTAAAGGGAGGTCTGTCCATCCCCGAGGCGATCGCAAGCATGGATCAAGGGGGCGCGGATTAGCGACGGGTCCCATTTCTATGGGAGATCGCGGACTTCCGCCGCCGAGCGAGGCGGCACCGGCCGCGTTTTGGGGAGGCGCCTCCCCCGAGCCATGGATTTGGCGACCGCGCGCCAAATCCATGGATCGCTAATCCATGTTTGCGCGCCCCCGATGCAAGTCGGCGGCAAGGGCAGTCTGAGAACGTGCTCGGCGCTGACGCGAGACCATCACCTTTGGAGACGCACCGCCCTGACCCGTGCATCACCGAGCGCGTTCCACTGTTCGCGAAGTGCCTACTCGCAAACGTCTGAAAAACACATGCCTGCTTCGATGGAATGTATCGTAGATCCTTCGCGGCGGATCCAGGCCACTTGCGAGTAGTTACTTTGCGAGTAGTGGAACGCGCTCGTCCAGTGCAGTAGCTTCTGGTATTATAGCCCTGAGACGCGTGTACGCGGTGCTGCAGGGCGGGGCTCACACTCTGAGAACGTGCTGTCTCCCTCCTTCTGTTGGCGGCAAGTCTGGGGGGGGGAAGTGAAAAGGGGCGGGCCTTCTCAGAAGGCTCGGGAGTCTCCCGGCTTTCTGTGAAGTTTTCGGAGCCTCCCCCAAAAATACAGAGAAGATTTCTCCCCCCACCAGAACCCGCCCTGCGCGTTTGAAGGGGGGGTCGGTCCCAGACGACCCCTGGACGACCCCTTCCCAATGCCTTTGGAGGCCCCTGGCCGACCCTGGAGGGCAACAACATATCTCCAAGAGCGTCCACAAGGCCCTGAGGTGGCACCCATACGCCTCAATATGTATCCAAGACGGCCCAGAATTGCCTCAATCAACACGGCCCCAATACCGCCAAAGATGGCTTCAGGACGGCTCGTGACGTTTCGAACAGAGTCCCAAGATAGCTCCAGTGCCGCTCCGTAGCCATTTTGGCTCAAGGATGCTCTTGAGCTGGCTGCTAGGTGCTTCCCTCTGAAGTGCTCACCCACCAGGCACTGATTGGCAGAAGCACGGGCTCCGATCATCATGGCCTCGGCGCGGAGCGAGCACCTCGGCCTCGCCGCCGCCGCCCCAGACGTGTGGCAGCAGTGGCCGGGGTGCACATTCGAGCTCAAGGCGACGTTCCTTCACCTGGTCGACCAGGTCGAGGAGCGCTGGCGGCGGGAGCGGCTCCCGCGCGCCAGGTCGGCCCCGCCCGCGCTCGGAGGCGCCCGCGCCAAGCCCGTGGTGGAGTGCACGCGCCGCACCACCCGGTCGCAGCGCAGGAGGCGGCAGAGGGTCGCGGGGAAGAAGCAGCGGCGCGGTGAAGCCTTGGCTGGCGGCGTCGACTTGCCGCTCTGAGGGCTCTCTCGTCGCACCCAGGCGCGCCCCACTGGGAGGGGGAGGGGGAAGGAGAGGAGGGGGAGGGGGAGAGGAACATGTTGCGGACGACCATCGGTTCGGTGGCCTCCCCGCCCCATTGTGGAGTCATTTCCCGTCTGCAGGGAAGCTGCATTTGCACGGCAAATTTCTGTCGTGGCGCCAGCTACATTTGCACGGCACATTTCTGCCGATGCGCCGTCGAGGCGTTTTGGCTCCTTTAATTACCTTACCCCATTGTTCCTCCTCGTCCTCCTCCCTTCCTATTCCTCCTTGCTCCTGACATCGGCTACAGCTCGGATCGCTTCTGGGTCTGGGGCACAGATGTTGACTCATGACCGCGCCTCTATTTTGCTTACCCAGCTTCTAGGGTACGAGCGAGGCGTATTTCTCTGATAGCCCACTCGGGTGCATCGACGTAGTCACGGGGTGGGTCGGTGGGAGGGAGCGGATGGAGCCATCGGGTCTCGCGCTTCAGGCCGAGAGCCTACTCTTTGATTTGAGTTCTTTCGCCGCGCACGATTCATGCTGAGTTTGTGCATGCATGCGCTATTTTTGATTCTAAATGCACTTTTTGACCCGAGGGCGCTCCACCCAGAGCGTGCGGCACAGCGGCGGATGCTTTGAACTAGATATGCCACGACGGTTGTGTCGTAGGCGTCGGCACCGGTGAAGGCCGAAGGCGGAGGGAGGTGAGGCGGTCCGTAGTTCCTCGTCCCAGGTGAGGGAAGTGCAAGGCGTGCCGCCGGTGCGCCTCTGCAGCAAAACGGGCGCAGCGCCCCTGTCGAGAAAGCCTGCAAGCCTCCCTGGCGCAGCGCGCCGCCGTGAGAGGCGCGGAAGGTCACGGGCCATCGGGCCGAGGCGGAGGGCAAGACGGAGGAAAACATAATCACTACGATCCTGATCCGGGAGACGCGGGCCCCGAGGCCGGCAGAGAGCCGCGCATGCGTGGCGCTTACTCCTTTGCGCATTCATCACGCGGGGTCAGCCGCTCACCGGCAGAGGGCAAGCGCGTCCATTTTCACGAGGAGGCGTCGCGAGGGCGTGGCTTGGCACCCTCGCCTCGCCAGCGGGCCCGCGCAAAACCAGTTTCAACGAGACCCTGGCGGCCAGGTCTCCATGCCCCTTGCCCTTGCCCTGGCCTGGCCTACTCTTGGATCGCGGAGGCCCCGCAGCTCCAGCTACCCGTGGCCTACGCACGGCCGAGAGCTTGCCGATCGTATTCCTCTCTCGCCTGATAATTTGCCCACCCCGAGTGTGTCTCGCAGGTGTCGTGATTCGACATAGATCCCTTCGTGCCACCGCTGCCAACCGAAAAAAAAAGATAGCTCCAGTGCCGCACGACTTGCACGCACTGGCCAGTGACCCCTGGGCGGATGAATTCCGAGCTTCCCTTCGGTAGCCGCACGCGGCACATTTGGGGCACCTCTGGCAGTGGGAAGAGGCACTTTTCTTGGCAGCCCCAGCAGTCCCCTGGCTTTGCCAGACGGCTGGAGTCAAATAGTCTGGGTTACATAAGGTGCCCCTGGCCCCAGGTGCCCCCAGCTGTTCGCTCAATTTTGGAGCTCCTGGAGGCCTCCGAGCCTTGTGAGGGAGGCTCTGGAGGCTGTGGGTGCTCTCTGGAGGCCGCGGGGGCCTTCTCAGAAGGCTCGGAAGGCCCCCGGCCTTCTGAGGAGTGCTCTGTGCCTCCCCCGAGAGGCGCGAGAAGACACGGAAGGCTTTTCAGAAGGCGCGAGGGCTTCTGGGATATCCGGCCGCCCTCCGAGAAGGCCTTCTCCTCCTCTTTTCCCCCCCTCGCTCGCCGCCGAGCCGGGTGAGCAAACAATGGCATGCACAGAAAGATCCAGAGCTCCGCGCGGATTTCTAGGATCGGCGCTGGACCTGCCTTCCTGGCGCGCGGAGCGCGCCAGGGGCGGCGACGCGCCCCAGCGCCCATGCGAGAAATTTGCGCGGACCTCCGAGTACTCGCCACAGGAGGAGCGGGTCCTGAGGTTTGGCGCCGTTTTCGTGCCCTCCTGGCCCTCCGCTGGCCCTGGGACTGCCAGAAGACAACCCACGATGAAGAACCCGTCCTGGGGAGGGCACCATGGTCCAGGACCCGTTTCCCTCAGGACCCGTTACCCCCAGGCTCAGAGTATTTGTGTTTCTGTCATTCTTTATTCCCCCAGTGGCCGCAGAGGGGAGTGCCTTCGGGCGGGGCTCGGGGGCGGCTAGCAGGGGTGGAGGCAAAGCGTGGGGTGGATACCAGGGCTCGAGCTAAACGTTGCTTGGGCGATCTCGTGGACCGCTTCCGCTCTGATCTCGTTTCGCAGCAACAGCAAAACGAAGACAGAACGAGTCCCCTCTTATCGTGTCTCGCCGCGCCTCCTGCCCCCCCCCTCCCCCCCCCCGCACGTGCCTCGGGCCATGATTGGCACCCCCTCGGAGGCCCTCGATGGGCGTATAAAATGAAGGCCCTCGATGGGCGTTCAAGATGAGGGCCCTGATTTGCAGGAAGCCCCCCCGAGTCGCGCACGTGCTCAGGGCGACATGATCTGCTCCCTCTGAGAGGCCCCCACATCTTGATCGCTCACGAGGGGCAACACGCGTGCCTCGAGAGGCAAAAACATATGATATCACTCTGTCTCATGGCAAGAATCCTGGGGAGGCTTGTCCAAGGTTTTTTTCTGGGGGGTTTGTCGGGATACTTGCGGGGTTCTCCAAGGGGTTGTCCGGGCTGCGTTATCTTGTCAGCATGCAGCATGTGCACATGCCACATGTAATCCTATTATTTCTATGTCTTGGGTGTCCTCCACCTTTCTAGTTCCCGACAGTCCGCGACGGCCCAAGAGACCTCCAACACCGCTTCAGGACGGCTCAAGAAGTCCCCAAGACGACACGAGGACAGCCTAACGGGGCCCCATGACGGCACCAGGGGCGCCCCCAGTAAATCATTCCACAGCGGTGTGGAACGCTCTCGCAAGGGTGCCAGGGCGCTCTGGAACGCTTGTGAGATCCCCGAATTGTCCTGGTCCGATTTCGTCCCTGTCGCGGCCTCGTGCTAGTCCTCTCTCCTCCAGCTCCCCACGTTTCAGTGCGCTTCGCATCGGGTGGCCGTCGGCCAGGGCAGTGGATCGGCAGCAGCAGGAGGGTGATCGGTGGAGCGTCGCCGGCACAACGAGAGAAAGGGGTGAGGATCCAGGATCCAGGCTGTTCCGAGATGATCACGAGTAGCCGCTGGGTGCCGGGCCTCTCGGGGCGTTGCGGAGAGCTATGGACCTCTGGGGACGGGTGCCTTGATGCACGAATGCAGCGTCCACCAAGGACATAGCGCACCCCCTCCCCCCATCTCTCCCCCTCTCTCCCCCTCTCTCTCTCACTTCTCCTCTCGCTCTCTCGCTCTGTCTCCCTCCTCTCCCTCCTCTCCCTCCATTTTTTTTTTTTTTTTTTTTTTTTGTTTGTTCTCTCTCTCTCTCTCTCTCTCCCTCTCGCTTTCGTTTTTTTGTTTCTCTCTCTCTCTCTCTCTGTCTCTCTCCATCTTTCTCGCAGCGTGTGTCTCATTACGAGGGCGCGCCGCTGGAGCTCCCCAAGAGAGGGGGGAGGTTGGGAACCCCTCCCCCCCTCCCCTTTCCCCGATCCGTCGTCGGGGAACCCTCCCCCCTCCGCCCATTTCCCGGTCCGTCGTCGGCCAATCACCCCCTCCCCCTCCCCCGCTTTCCCGGTCTGTTGTTGGGGACCCCCCCCGCCCTTTGGCCACCAAATTCGACCCCACCCCCGCCCTTTCGCCACGGCGCTCCCTGGTTCCGGAACCCTACCCCTATCACCCCTAACACTTTCACCCCGACCACCCGTAACCCTAACCCCAAACCCTAACCCTAACCCGAAACAGCGCTCAGTTTTCATCATTCATTACTCACTACCCACTCCTCACTACTCGCTACTAATTCTTCTCTTCTCACTACTCACTGATCACTACCCACGACTCACTACTCAGCCCCCTTACCCACTACCCACGTATTCACTACTCAATACTCACTACTCCCAACTCACTTTCCAATACCCACTTCTCAATATTCACGCCTCGCTAAACACTATTCACTACCAACTACTCAGTAATCATCAATCACTACTCACTACCCACAAACCACTATCCACTACTCACGACTGAGTACTCACAGTTCATCATTCATTATTCACTGCCCACAACTCACTACTCACTATCCGCTGCTCGCTACTCCCTGCGCCCCCTACTCCGTACACACAACGCACTGCTCACTACTCACTAGTCACTACTCGCTTCTCCCTATTCGCTATTCGCTACCCGATACGCAATATTCACGACCCACTACGCACTACCCGCTACTCACGACTCCCTATTCTCTGCTTTGCTAGTCACTCGCCACCGTTCACTATTCGGTTTTCACTACTCTCTACTCGCTAGTCCCCACGCACTACCCACTACTAACTACCAGCTTCCCCCTACTCACTACTCACTACTCACTATTCGCTACGCCCTTTTCGCTACTCACTACTCACTACCCACTAGGGGCTACTCCCTCCTCACCACTCACTATTCACAATGCCCTACTCACTATCCACTACTCAATACTCCCGATTCGCTACGCACTACTCACTGCCCACTCCCCAGTACCCACTACTCACTACTCATTTCTCACTACTCACTACTCAGTGCGCACTACTCACTACTCACTCGTCAGTACCCACTACTCACTACTCGCCACCATCTACTCACTATTCACTACTTGCTAATCACTGCTCGCTACTCTGTACTCACGACTCACTACTCACCATCCTGAGGCCGGACCCCCCACACCCCCCTGCGGGAGAAGCCTCCCCCCCCGGCCCCCTGTTCGGCACAAAGGGGGGGAGTGGTGGTGGGGGGTTCGAACCCCCCCCCCTTTCCAGCCCCAAGGGGGGGAGGGGGGGGGGTCCAGACCCCCCCCGCCTCGTTCAAGGGGGGGGAGAGGTCGGAAGCCCGCCCCCCCTGAAGGGGGGGAGGGGGAAGGGTGTCGAAAATCTCAC